AATGGATAGAGAATTCCTTACTAACCAGTATCAGCATGTGTGCATCAATGACACGTTCTCTAGCCCTCTTTCTATATCCTCCAGTGTCCACCAGGGCTCCATCTCGGTGTGCTTCCCCCCCCTGTTGTTTCTTATATATATATAAATGATCTGCCATTGGAAGTTTATTTCTGTGTTCGCATGTTCACAGATGACTGCATCATTTACCAACCAGTAACTAATACTACAGCTGTGCTGCAACTGGTGCGATGATCGCTGGCTTCACAACCCCAATAAATGTAAAGTTACGTCCTTCGCCCGTTTATGCAGCCCTCTCCTCTGTGCCTACAAAATTGCTAACACTCATGATTGATTGGTTGATTGATATGTGGGGTTTAATGTCCCAAAACCACCATGTGATTATGAGAGACACATTGCTAACACTCGAATTAAAGCTGTTGGTTCTTACAAATATCTCGGCGTCACTATCTCTAATAATCTTAAATGGTTTCCACATGTGTCCAAAATCATTTCATCCAGTAACAAAACTTTAGGCTTTCCGAGACGCCATCAACTGAACGCCCTTTTTCATGTTAAAACTCACTGCTTATAATGCATCCAAAACTTGAATTTGGATATTTAATCTGGAACCCTCACCAAACTTACCTCACAAATGCTCTAAACATGGTGCAGAACTGCACAATCGGGTTAATTCACTGATCATAATCATACAACGTAAGTTTATCCTCACTAAAAGTAGAAACAGGCCTGTCCATATTTTCCTGTCGCATTGCCAGCCTATCTCTATTACACAAACTGTACCACAGTTCCCTCAATCGGACACCTTATTTCACCTCGTACAAGTCGCCTTCGCACTCTCACCTTGTCACCTTCCTTTTTCTTAGGCACTATGGTGGACTGGAACGGCTTTCCCTACGTCATCGTTGTCATTGCCAACCCAGAAGCTTTCACTGCAGCTGTATGGGCTCCTTTTTTATCCTGATTGGTCCATTGTCACACATTCTTCTTATACCCCACCCCTTATGTAATGTCCCCACTTGGGGTCTTTAAAGAAATAAAGTGTAACATCGCTTACCATTGCCTGGCAGATCCTCTATGTGACACAGCACATTTGCAGAAACGAACCCTCGCAATCACATGACTACGTAATGCATGTGTCGCGACACACTTCGATAGCGAAATAGCCCAGTCAGAACCAAATTTTTTCGCTGGCTTATCTGCGCAAGTTGCGGAAAAGAGCCAGTTGGGCTCGACAGCTTCAACTTCGAACAAAGTATGCAGTATGTACTTTGGGTTAGTACTACACAGCAGCTGCCTCACATTCAGCGCCTCAACATGCACGAGCAGTTCGGTCAGGTGTGAAAGTACAATGACAGTGTCAGATTTAGATGTCTGTGCAACTTGCCCATTCAATGATGGGTTTAATCTCAGCCCCAGCGATCACATTTTGATGGAGGTAAAATGATAAAGGTGTGTGTAGCTGTCAGTGCACATTAAAAACACCAGATGGTCAAAATTTCAGGAGCCCATCCCAACAGCGTCCCTAACAATGATATCTTAATCTTGAAAGGTAAAACTCCAGATATGATTATTACTAATACAGTTTGTGTAAGTGCCCAAGAAACACCAAGAAAACAAGACATCGCTTAACCTTGTGCAGATGGACTATGCGGCACAGTGCGTTTCAACCCTCGCAAGCACATCATTAAGTTATGCATGAGCACACTTCAATAGCAAACAAGCCCAGTCGAGACCAAATTTTTTCACTGGCTCATCTGCGCAAGTTTCGCAAAAGAGCTCATTTAGGTAGAGAGGCTCAGCTTCAAACAAAGTATGCTGTTTATAAATTATAAACTATAGGTAAATACTTCACAGCAGCTGCTTTCTCCTTCAAATGGTAGCCCCCCTGCACATATTCTTTCGCATCCTGGACACACATTTAGTGCATCAACCCATGCAAGCAATTTCGTCAGGTGTGAAAGCACGGTGATGGGTCACATTAAAATGCCTTTGCAACACGCCCATGCACACTAAAACTCAACAACGTATCTTCAGCAACGATGACCCATTTTTCACTGACTAGTGCGTGCTCTTCAGCCTTTGTGGCACAAAAGACCACAAAAGACTTTTTACGCGAGAGCTGTCAATGCTGTGCCGACTCGCAGACGGTAAACGAACCTCACACTTTGAATATCACTCAAAGTGAGCGCACCGCTTGCCATATACGCACAGTTTCGAGGCTCGTATGGTGATTTAACACACTTCCAAATAGTTTTCTTCATGCATCCTCCCTCGATCTGGAACCCTTTTTGCAGTTTCGATGATACCATGGCAGGGTAGGAAAAATTCAAGGCGCACTTCCTCATACAAGGCCCCACTTTATTATCGCGAGCGTTTTCAATATTTTTCCCATTGACAATGCGGCTGTAGGTTTTCAAGGTGTCCTCGGCATGAAAATGCACATCGCCAACTCGCAATTTATCCGACAGCCTTTTGTAAAGACCGAGAATAGCACAATCCCGCACTCGACGGAGAGCCAGATCACATGGAGGCCGGAAGTGTCGGAAGTGTCTCGGGCACACAAGAAGTTGGCATTGCGGACAAACTAACATCCATGCCACATAGAACACAACAGCACGCAAAATCTATTCAGTCCGCGTACTGCAACACATGGACACTGCACAACCGCAGCCACACACAGGGCGCATTGTTGCTATTTTATTTAAACTACTCAACCGAATCACTATCCACTTTAAATTCGCTTTCAACCTAAAATTTGCTTTTCACACTAGCCTACATAATACCCACACTGCAACAACTAATGATAGCACCCATAGCAATCACAACAAAAGAACAACAAAATAGCCATGAAAGTCCCTGGTTGCCTATGCTACACACTTCCTCCGGTTAAATGCTGGAGGTGCATTTCTCTCTCTCTCTTTTTTTTTGTCTTGAGCCCTTTGCCTACCTCCCGTAGTGATCGGCTGGGACATGCTACCTTCAAAGAGCATTTCCCGAAGACTTTAGAGAAGCATGCATCAGACGCAGACGAATGATGGCTAGCCAGTCTTCTCTTTTGAAGGCTACACTTAGCAGGCGCTGTCCTTGTCAGCCTCTTCTGTCTGTCTGTGTTTTCGTGCACTTCAACAAAATTTTCAATTATGAACATAATCCAACTGGCCCAACTTGCCATCTTTACCCACCTACCAATACCAAATTGGCATAGCTTCAAAACTCTGGAGAATGTGTCGCTGGGCATGTGGGTATATACTTGAAGGAACAAAAAAAAACAGCTTACAGGCATTGGAAGAGTCTTTTCATGTACGCGGTCGTAAGCTTTTTTTTTTTTTTTTTCTCCCCCCCTCAAACTGAGAACAACAACTTGCGACTACGGTAAGCAAGCAGGCTATTTCTCTTACAAATGAAACAGTTTACAGCACGTTATAATGCAGAGTTCATGTCCAATTTGACCTTTTTTTTCACATTTGTGAATTCGCACTAAGGACTGGAATCTGGGAAAAGTTGTAAGAAATTGGGAAGCTAGCTTGCAACCTACAATAACAAATTAACTCTTGCGGTTTTACGTCCCAAAACCAGTATGAGGGTCGGCACAGAAGAGAGATGCAGAAATTTCAGCCATCAGGTGTTCTCTAACAAACACCTAAATCTGTTCGCAAACCTCTAGCATCTAGCCTGCATTGTAATGCCGTGACAGCAGCCAGGATTCGATTCCGTGAGCGTAAGTCGGAAAAGTCGTGAGTAGACTCATTTGGACTCGGACCGAGTAGTGAGTCCGGGCGAGCGATATTCTAGAGAGTCTCGGAATCTGGTCGAGAAAAACCTGATTGTGTCAGAGTTCAAGTAAGCCCTAAGCACAACATGCATTTCTTGAGTGAACATGAGTGAACTGCACCTTTTTCTGCCGAGTTACAGCGATAAATACTCCACTTATGTCAGCTCACGTTGTAGTCATACATACTAAGACACGCTACCTACCGCTCAACATTCATTGATCAGAGGCGCGTGTCTCTCGCCCCTCTTTCTTGAGTCCTTGGTGAAAAGGTTCACACTACGCTGCAACCACTGACATTTAAAGGAACAACAACAAAATGTGCATCAGAGAACGACAATGCAAGGTATTGAAATTAAAGCTGATTGAAATTGATGCTGATTGACAAAGCTAATTATGCGAGGCCCATTCCGATTCGGATCTAGGTCTGAGTGAGCCTGTTTAACAAAAATTTCTGAACTTTTTTCGCCGGCCTATGCCCGCAACGTTTGGGTCAGCAGTACAGCGCTGTACAGCAGCAAATGTTTCCGCATACTGGAGTCTGCACAGTCACTGAATGGCAGTAGCATGCTACAGCCAATGGCAGTGCGCTTCCATCTGAGCTATTGAACCATTCATCGCGCTCATGCTGCTGGCAGGCTTTTCAAATAGTGAATTTTAGGTTTGAAACAATTGATGATTTGGGCAAATAAATGAGCACATCTGCCATGAACCAACCGACTTGCCCAGTATTTATTCTATAATTGAAACAAACAATGTGCAAATGCGATTCTTTTAAGTTCAAAAAGAAGTGGAAGTGACTGAATTTCAAGCAAGCAGCAGAGTTTACCTTTCGGTAAAATGCAAGTGATAGCCTGTAAAATATGTTACAATTTAAAATTTACTTTACTTAGAACACACAAACTGGTTTAATGAACTTTTAAACTTGAAAACTGATGAGCCTGTGTGAGGGTAATTAGTTCATCGAACATTGAAGCAGGGCCTTTTGGTGGTGTGTATTTCTCGGGATGTGAAACCATTTTACAGGGGGTTACATGTGGTTCATTTAGAATGCTTCAAATTAATAACAATTTAAATCCATCTCAAAGCAAGTCTGAATACAGTTATTTACACACAAATATTAAAACTTTGCAAATGTTTGCACAAGCGTAGACATTGGGAAAACGTCCATTCGCTGAGTAAAGCCACAACTGCGGTAACGAGGCCTCACCTTGGTCACCATGATGACCACAAACTTCTTTTCGTCAATTTCATATTCACTCATCTTGGAGTCATCACTTAGGATTTTACCTGTGAGGGAAAAAAAATGTGCATCATGAACATGTTGCCAGCATTGGTTGGCACTGTTCATTTGCTATTTTACGCCATGCACCAACTTTTAACACTCCTAAAAACTAACACACTCCTAACACTCCAAAACACAGGGTGTTGTACAGTACTAGTACAAGCATTTTTTAGCATGCGATCTTCGTGCGCAATGACAATAAAATCTATAATCGCGATAGTGTCAAAAGGTGCACCAATGCAGGCCAATCGCTAAAGTATACAGAATAACATAAACAAAACAACTCGGAGACATATTAAGTAGCCAACAATACCAGTATCCGTATTCCCAAATGCAATACAAATACAACATTTGTTGCTAGGCCACAACAAGATTCACAATCCAGAACAGCGGCACGCATTTTGAAGATCGCACACACCTGTTACGTTTACAGAGAGACGAACATGGTTGCAGAACAAAAGCCCAAAACCAAGCATTGCAGAAGCAATAGTTTCATTTAAGCAGTAGTTCCGCTTAGCAGATTTCCATTAACCGAGAGTCTACTGTCTTTAGGCGCGAACTTTTTTCTCGCATTTGCTATCTCCCCAACTACACCCAGGACTATATGCGGGTCCAAGCTATATGTGGGCCTTTACGGTAAACAGTGCGAAAGACAAAAGAGAAGAACTACACAGGACAAGCATACACTTCAAACTGAAACATTTATCGAGTGCATACTATGTGCTTAAACAAGGCTGTTTACCATGTGTACACCAGGAGCCGTTTCAAAAACAAGATGCAAAATACAGCAAACTGATTTCTGCATAGCTCGGATAGTGAAGCTCTTTGTTGAATAAGGCGATCGAGGCCTGAGCTCCACATGCATTGGCTTTCACAATTCCCCACCGAGTCTGCCCCCAATGACGACACAAAATGATGGTGTTGCCAAAGGGAAAAACACAGCCACAATCACGACACCATAACGTCAGCGGCATGGCTTCTTAGAGAGTTGTTACGCTCACACAGGCACACATTAATGCAGTGCCTCATCTTCCAAACATACAAACGGTCACATGAGAGTGGCATCGAGTACAACACAAATGTACAGCTAAGAATGACTGGTAGAACATCGTTGATATGTTTACGGAAAAAAAAAATACTAGGAAGATAATGAAAACATACAATCCGAATCCAGCAAAAAAATGAGGCTGACAAGTCCATTATGAGGTTTAAGGGGGAAGAGCACTTATTTCTCGAAAAACAGCAATTTTCTGCTGCTGCCTCTCACCCTTAAACAAAAAAAGCTCCTTCTCCACACACTTTAGACCCTTGTCGCCATTTTCATTGCTTTTCGGGCAAAAGAATCATGGTAAAGCTTGCAGTCCATCAGGGGCTTCGGCAAACAGCCGGTCAGAGGCACGCTTTCGTTCTCACCGCTGCCTTCTGGTGCGTCATCCCCCACCTTCTTCGCTGCATCGCAACCCCCAACCTTCGCGACAGTCTCAATGACACTTTGCAGCTCACAAGTCATGATTGATTTGTGGGGTTTAACGTCCCAAAACCACCATTTGATTATGAGAGACGCCGTAGTGGAGGGCTCCGGAAATTTTGACCACCTGGGGTTCTTTAACGTGCACCCAAATCTGAGTACACGGGCCTACAACATTTCCGCCTCCATCGGAAATGCAGCCGCCGCAGCCGGGAATCAAACCCGCGACTTGCGGATCAGCAGCCGAGTACCTTAGCCACTAGACCACCGCGGCGGGGTCAGCTCGCAAGTCAGGACACTGTCATCTATAGAGATGGAATCAGCAAAGGGTGGATTGGCACCAGTGGAGAGAGATTCCTTATCGATGTCATCATCAAAGTTGACTTCGGAGGTGTGGTGTAGTAGAGTGAAGTGGTGGTGTCTGTGAAGTGTGGTGGCATCGTGGTGTTATGTACAACGTGCTCGGAGGCGACGGCAGTGGTGCTTCTCAATTGAGCGGCGGAAAGATGGTGATGACGTTGGCATGAAACGTCATGCATGAAACTGCGGCCCGCTAAAAGGAAGAGGAAGTTTGCGCGAAAGGTTGCGCTCCCAAGGCACGAGAAGGAAGACGAGGAAGACGAGTTGGGGGCAGAACGGGATCGAGCTGGCTGGAGTGCAGATCCTGGGTGTCGCACGACTGCGGTGTCTGGTTCCGGACCCGACCGCGTGAAGTCAGGCAAGGCCAGGACGCTCCGGCTGTTCACGGTGTACTCGGAGGTACGCGGCCTTCCAGAGTTCCGGCCGTGACTGTTCAAGGTCACGTCCCAGGTGTCCAGGCTTCGACTCTGGTTCCGAACCTCCCGTGGAGGGCGGAACCTTCCGGGTGGTGATCATCTCCTCGAAACGAGCCAGCATCTGCAAGCGGCCGTAGTTCTTGCTAAGGCAAGGGCCACCTCGTCTTCCGCCGAGCGTCGCCGTGCTGGTCAGCGCGTGACTCAAGCTGCTGAGACATCGCCAGCGTCCACCGCCTCAACCCACCAAGCCACCGCCACCATCAACGCCACCGGTCACTGTTGATTTTTATAAACATTATAGCTGAACAACTTACAGGACACGTCTTTATTTGCCAGCTTAGACTCGGTGTCTGTCAATTGCAACTTCATCTCTTTTTTTTTTCTTAATTATGCTTAATGTTTCTACTTTTCTTTTCACACCTTAAGCGGCTTCGTCATTTTTTAGCTCCGAGGCTTTCCCTACGAGCAACAATTTATTCAATCGTAAACCTGCATCACAGGAGGGCCACGATTGCTTAGACCACTTCAACATTGCCTCCTCCAGCTCCCCAGCGCAGGTTCCACAAGCTTGCTTTGTTGCACTGCCGAGTACGAGGGTGTTCGTCTCAATCTTTTTCCGCTTCGACACCACAGTGTTCACAGTTGACGCTGGCAGCCCCAAGTTCATTTGCTATGTCGATTCGCTTCCTCTTCGGGTTCCTGCTGACAACCGCTAGGATATTCAGCTTCTCCTTAGTTGACAAGAACTTGCGCTTCTTCGGCACCATGCTGAACAACTGCCTCAAATCCTGAACTACCGAGCAACGTGCAGCCTCGCACAGGGCCCGACATGCATATCCCTAAAATTTCTTTCCAAGGTGCCGTCTGAGAAAGAAAACCACTGTGCTATGGAAAATAACAAGAATTTTTTTAAAACCGTTTGAAGACTGACGACTCAGATGGGTCTGTGTATGGTTTACAGAAAGCTGCGGCAAAGATGGGTAGCGCGACCAGGTTATTTGAAGAAAGCGTGGAAGGGAATATTTACCCCCGTATTCACAAATGCTGCTTTACTTGAACTTGACTTGCCACCAACTTCAATGCAGCACAAACGTGCCCCAATCGCGCTGTCTTTAGGCGGTGAGAAAGCCGCACAAATGCACAGACCTGTTTTAAACACGCTGTATTGAAGGCAGTTTCAAAACAAATTCAAATAAAGGAGCGTTTCAGAATATGGGGGTGAGTACACTAATTTGGAGAAGACGCCGAGGGTGAGACTTTAGCACAGCAAGAAAACCGCCATCACCGAACAGCGGTAGTCTGCCACTTAGCGCTTCAGAAGCATGCAAGAGCGTTTTTTTTGCACTCCGAATGAGGATTTTCAACTGCGGAATGTATCATTCAACGGCAGTTCGCCAAAATGTCGATGGTTGCTGCCGAATAACCGTATTTACCTGGAACGCATTAAGTAGAGCATATCAACACATAGCTCTATGGCTAGTTATCGCGATTTTGAGCTTAGAAGCCGGGAAATCATATTAAGCTGAAATGTGTCAACAAGGTTCTACTGTAGACTTGGCAGGCACTTTCCTGCGTCTGCAACCTGCTGACAATGAAGTGGTCAACATCCACATGAAACTTGCCCAGCTTACTGGGCAAGCTATGCACATATGTGAGGACAGCCATGTTTCTATGCTGCTCTCGCTGACGAGTGTCTGCCCTCTGCACAGTTTCCTAACATCTGGTCTGCGTTTTCCGTGGGTGGTCAGAAGATATTGGCAGAGCTTCTCAAGCCAGCAGGACAATGTGGCAGTCACCACAGCATTACCAACGGCACAGCTCTGGCCTTGCACGAGGGCATTCCCAATGTAGTGGCTTCAGCCACTTTACAAAAAAAAAATAATAACCTGCGCAGCGCGGGCACGTGTGTGTGTACGTGTGTTGAGATGTACCACCCCACCCAACAAGTTCTTCTGAAATATAGTAAAACTTGTTGTTGGGCTAGTTGGTGCATGTTACAAGATAATGAGACGACGCAAACAATGTATGACAGTACACTTTAGGGGAGAAATGAAGTGCTCACATTTTGACATCACACAGACAACTTATCAGTGGCATAGCCAGGGGTGGTGGGGGATGGAGGTGGGGGGTGCTCAAACTTTTCCTGAAATTTTTCATCCGATGCGACCCCCTGGCACCTAACTTTTTTTTTTCGTCACTTTGCGCTGACATGATTTAGAAACTGAGTGCTGCTACTATCAAAATATCATTTCTGGGCGCTTTTACAATGTACGAAGTTGCATACGGAAAAACGTGTTGTGGTGTTTGTCAAGGCTTAGCATTCTGTGAGAACTATAGTGTGACTCTTCGTACGTGTGCTAAGATATGCTCAACCCAAAGAATAACATTTCTATTTAACTTTTGCATGTTCTGCTAACATCTCAACACACACGCATGCACACACACATGCACACATGCGCAACAGAATATTCAGTTTATACACCTAACTCGGCTTGTATGTGATTGTACAATATATACCTTTGTTATGGCCTAACACCTAAGGCACTCCAGTCTTGTCTAGTGACGAAGATGCAACACAGGCAAATGTGCAGGCAAATCACAGCTTTAGAAAGGACTACTAAAATACTCATCATATAACTTAGGCTCACAAATAAAAAGATGGTGGTCGTAAACCTAAAGCAGAGTAATGAGAAATGCAGTGTGGGCAGCTGTAGTGAGCACAAGCTTTATTGTTCAGCACTGTGGCCAACAGCGCAAGAAT